CACTGCTGAGCTGACGAGTGCTTACACGGGTGTGAGTACTGGTTCCTCTCCTCACCGTAGTGAACTTAATGTACATGGCTCCCCCTCAAAGCTACTACGATACACCCTAGATATAGAAAAGTTTTAAGAATCTTGTAATAGAAAAGCCATGCGGTTAATCACATATGCATACGTGAAAATGTACATAAGGTTTGGACAGGTCTAAAAGTACAGGAACCTTTCTCTTTTCCAAGCCGGTCTGCATAGTAATTACCTTTTCCACAAATGCTCGTGCTTCTTCTTTCTTTTTTTATTCGCAGCAACAGCCGGTGACCACATTCGATGCTGTATTTGAATCTGGACATATCTACTAGTTGGAAATAATACCTGCTGTTTGACTCCATGGACTGCTGGGCTACTCTCAACCTTTCGAGGTTTCTAGAACATCTTCGTAATTAACTCACCAACTGGTCAAGATTCTTTTTGCGACGAACCGTCTAAAGCTTTCCAACAGCCATAGTGGAACAGATATTCTGAACAAATGATCAAACAAGAGGCCAATATGCCTGTTGGCTCGGAATATGATCTGCCTGCAGTGGTTCCACACATGTTCTCTGGTACTCTGCATCAAATGATCCTTTCAAATAAAAGTTACCGCGCATCGGGCACACTTCTCGGATGATGCTGCTTACGCTGATATGAACGATGCCTGAGGTCTATGTAAGACTACTGCCATTTGGATTATTAACCGTTTTGGCGTCTATTTCCATCTACTACGAATATTTCAATCGGAATAAACCTATATTACCTTTCAACACGACACGGTAAACTGGAAATGCATTGATTTATACACTCACCTTGGTTATTTAACCGTGGATACTTACCGATACTTCTAGTAGTATAAATTGGTCCCTTGTGGTTGGCAAAGCTGAAAACTGAAGACCATTCTAAGGAATAGACTGTTGTATTACCAAATAAGAAACTGTGCAAATGGACCAACAACGCCGGCTGGTTATATCGCAAACTTCGATCATTGCGCGCTTTTGTTACTGATAGCGGAACATATCTGTGTAGTGACCGATGCAAATCCATGCCCTTCTCTTGATTTGCAGCAAGTTTTAATAAGGTTACGCATATTAGTAACTTGCTGTGTGAGTTGTACAATTCCAAATACTATTCTGTAAGCCTTCAACATCATCTTTTTGTCGGTGCTTGTAAACTGATATCTGTCATGTTAAATCCATTACATGGGAGTGGAATTTTTAGTATTTTCACTTTGACGCCCTGCACATGCTGAAAGTGGTGTTTTCTTTGTCCCGTAACCGTGGCCTGATGTTTTGATAGAGATAAACGGTCCCCCCTATGTACCATTAAGGACCTGTAAAATCTTGTAGATTTTTCCACATATATCAATCCGGTGATACCTGTAGGCTGCCTTCTCCCATGTTAAATTACTAATATGAGGGTAAAAATACATAATTATTATATTATATTGATTCATGTAGAGAAGTATCGTCAAAATGTCATATGGCACTAACTTTGAGCTGATTGCATGGTTGTCAGTGTCAGGCGTCATTCAGACAAGACAGACTTTGAGAATATCTCGCGGATAAACTAACTGAGGCTAAGAAATTTGCATTTCAATATCACGAATATTGGGTGTGTGAATTAGTCAACGAAACGTTTAGTCTCCTCTTCACTGACAAAAGATGGAAAGCAAGCATTACTCAGTGGTAGAGGTGCACATTAAATCTCGGAGGTTGACTCAAATCTGAACAGCCCACATGATGCAGCTTTTCGACATACATCAGCGTGATGATGCCTGTGAACTGGCTTCTCTCACCTTAAATTATTAATGCGAGAATAAAAGAAGTCGCTTATTTTTTTACTACAATGTGGTAATGCCACAGAACCCAACAGACCCTTTTCGATGCCACAGTACAGACTCTGAGAAAAGATTTTGGTGGTCATTCGTCTCTTTTCAGTGACAGATATTGTTGTCTTAAACTGGTCATGAACGAGAATAATGAGTTCCTCACTCATACTGGCATCGTTAATCGCGAATGAGAAAAATGCAAGCTGAAGTCCGTCGCCGATGGCCCGTTCAAGTCTTCGATACTCATATGCAGCCCTGAGTCGCCAAAGTTGGCAGATATTAGAATGAGATCGCTAAATTGGTTGGAGCAAGAACCAACAATAACGTTGAATTATGTCGCCGCCGAATATCAGAGATCAGTCAACCCGCAACGGGTTAGAAGTTTGGGCCAGTTCGGAAGCCAGGGTGATAAGGAAGTGCAAACGGCTCACCAGAAATCTAATTCCTCTTCATTCTCTTTTGACCTAAGGACCCCTGGTTTTTCGCCTCCTGTTCGTCATCCCAACAGCTCACACAATAACAAAAGAAACACGAAGAGGACCGCCTCCGTCCCCCTGCTGGCATTGTGGAACGTAATATTTCGTTAAATCTTTTCCTTATAGGCAGAATAAATGCAGGGATCATAATGCTGTGGGTCGCAAAGGCGGATTTCTCAATCAGCCCTCGTCATAAAGAACAGGCAGGTCACTATCCGGTCACCGTCGAAGATCGAAATCTCGGCCAGTACGAAAGTCTATTGGTCTTACCATTACTTTTCGAGCACATTCACCAGCACGGAGAAAATATATCGCCGTGTAGACAAATCATCATTCAGGACGGCCTAATCTCTATACATCCTAAGACGTGATGATCATTTCCAGGAAGCCGTGATAGTGGAGGACCTCTAGAAAAGAGTCCGACCACACCGTGCATATTGCCCTAAGAGATCGAGGTAACATCAAAGTGAGAGGAGACATGAGGTCATTCCAGACTAACCTTTCCCAGTAGCTCAAGGCGAACCCCGAAACCCTATATCGATTTCTGGCAGGAAGAAAATCTACCAGCCGGACTGCTTGTACCCCTAAAGGCTGGACGGGGAGAACCTCTCCGGACTAGGGCTCGCCGAAGCCTTTCGCGCCGCTTTCGACTCATAACTGGACAAAACTCCGTCTAACCGAAATTGACAACTGTCCGACTGACATTCAGCACCACCAAATGCAGGAGAGCCGCATGGAATGAGGGTAACTCCCGCCCTCGAATAACTATCAAAGCTCAGCGCAGGGAGGTCACAGGGCGTGACGACATCCTGCTGGCTGTGATGAAACAATGAGCGGGCGCGTTGTGCGGTCCACCGCGTAATTTGCTTCAATACTCCCTAGACAATCACATGCGTTCACGAGAGTGGAAACATGCTATTCTATCCCCTATCTTCAAAGGAGGAGACAGACAGAACCCAAAATGCTACCTACCCATAGCCCTTCTAATAGTGGTGTCAGAGGTAATGGACGGACTGGTAAACGACTATGTCAGGGAATACCTGGAAAAGAAGGGGGGACGAAGTACAAGGAACCTGTAAAAACAATTTGGAAGCCTTCAAAGAAGCTGTCGTTAGATCACGGTTCAAGTTTGGCACCCAGAACAGAAAATGAGGGACGAAATTACAAACGACATCTTCACGCTAGCCATCAAGACAAAATAGGACATACTGAGCAGCATGGAGGAAGAAACCTCCGTGGAAGAACACTAGAACACTTTGAAAGCCATATGGTAAGGGACCTGCATAACTGCATTAGGGAGCGAGAAGGTAGAAGACAAGGAATGGATCTCGACGGACCCATGGAAGCTGATAGACGATGGATGGAAAGGCGGTGAAGCAGAAGATAAACCGGTGCAGGGAAGAACAACCAAAAGAGAAACTAAATACAACCTACAAAACAATGAAAAAAGAAGTGAAGGAGAGTGCACGCAAAGACAAAATACACTCCTATTCTATGACACATTGGAAAGTGAAGCAGAACAGGCTGCAGGTAGGAGACACCTGACAACACTGTATCAAATAACCAAAACACTATCTAGGAAGAGATCAACACAGATGAAACCAGTGAAAGATAGAGAAGGAAAGCTAGTTACCCAAAAGGAGAAGCAAACAAAACGATACGCTGATCACTTCAATAGACCACCACCTGCAACTTATCCGGAAATACCACCACCAGACACAGAATTACCAGTCAACACAAGCCCTCCGACAAAAGCAGAAGTCCTGAACGCCTTAAAGATGCTGGAAGCCAGGAAAGCATCAGGGCCAGATGGAAATCCGCCAGAAGCACTGAAAACAGACGCAGAGACAACAGCGGACAGGTCAACACCATCATTACACAAGAGGGGAAGGAAAGAGACATACCTGCCAAGTGGAAGAAGGGCTTCCTTGTCAAACTCCCAAACAAGGGAGACCGAAGCCTTTGCAAGAACTGGCGAGGAATCATGCTACTGGCCACCCCATGCAAAATATTAGGTCGCATCATCCTGGAGAAATTAAAAGATGCGCTGCATTCAAAATACGTCAGGAAGAGGCTGGATTTAAGAATTAAAACCATGTGCAGAACAAATTGCAACGTTATGCATCATCATAGAACAGAGAGTAGAATGGCAGTCAACTTCATCGAACTTGGAAAGGCATTAGCCAGCGTCGACCGAGAAGTAATTCGGAAACTCCTTCAACACTACAGTTTTTGTGTCACAAACCTTTATCAACCTTATTCAACAGCTAAGCTATATGAAGACGCTCAGTGGAGTTTTTGAAGTGAAGACAGCAGTAAGACAAGACTGCCTACTATGACCGATGATCTTCCTGATTGTGGTCGACTGAACTGCGTCGTGCAACAAACTGTGAGGGACGAGAAGATGGGCATGTGCTCGCTGTTCGACCGATGAAAACACTACACACTTTGGACTTCGCAAATGATGATTTGTGTCTAATGTCGCTCAAACTCGAAGTTCTGCAAACGAAAACCAACAAGTTGACAGAAGAGGCAGAGCAGCGAAGACGGCAATTCCTTCAGGTGAACGTAGAGAAGACAGAGGTGATGAAGATACTCAACCAACAACAACAAACACCAATCATCATTATTATTTTATTATTATTAGTCCCTTGGGTTCCTAGTGGAACATAGGGCTTCAGTAGCACGCCTCCAGTGACCTCTGTTCTCTGAGATCTTTTGAACCTGGTTCCACGACAGCCCACAACCTCTCATTTCCTCCTCGCATGACCTCCTCCATGTCACCCTCGGACGTCCAACTCGTCGCTTCCCATGGGGATTCCACTCGAGGGCCTGACGCGTGATGTCCTCAGTCGGCCTTCTCAGTGCATGGCCAATCCATCTCCACTTCTTCCTGCATATTTGTTGCGTGATAGGTTCTTGGTTGGTTCGTTCCCAGAGTTCCTTGTTGCTTATTTTTTCTGGCCATCTGATCTTCAGCAGCGAGCGTAAGCAGTTGTTGATGAATGTCTGTAGTTTATTGGAAATGCCTTTCGTGACGCGCCAAGTCTCTGAGCCATACAAGAGCACTGACTTGACGTTGGTGTTGAAAATCCGTATCTTGTTCCGCATGCTGAGTGCAGAAGATCTCCACACTGGTTTCAGGCTAATGAACGCCTGTCTTGCTTTTCCGATTCTGACTTTGACGTCCTCGTCCGTCCCGCCTGTAGTTGAAACAGTGCTTCCTAGATAAGTGAAGGAGGTTACTTCCTTCAAGTTTCTCCCGTTGACGGTGATTGGAGTTTGTTGTTGATGGTGGTGGTGCGGTATCTTCATCACTTCTGTCTTCTCTATATTCACCTGAAGTCCCGTCTTAGCTGCCTCTTCTGTCAACTTGTTAGTTTTTGCCTGCAGATCTTCAAGTTTATGTGACATTAGGCATAAGTCATCGGCGAAATCCAAGTCTTCTAGGTTCTTTTCCGTCGTCCAGTGTATCCCCCTCTTCTCGCTGCCTACTGTTTGCTGCATGATCCAGTCCACCACAATAAGGAATATCATGGGGGATAGTAGGCAACCTTGTTTCACTCCTGTCTTCACTTCAAAGGCATCACTGAGCTTCCCATTGTGGATTACTTGGCATGTGGCATCTTCATATAGTTGTTGAATGAGGCGGATAAAGGTTTGCGGTACTCCGTAGTATTGAAGCAGTTTCCAAATTACTTCTCGGTCGACGCTGTCAAAGGCCTTCTCAAAGTCGATGAAGTTGAGGTATAGAGCTGATTGCCATTCTACGCTCTGTTCTATGATGATACGAAGCGTTGCAATTTGGTCAGCACATGATTTGTACTTCCTGAAGCCTGCCTGTTCCGGTCGCAGTTTTGAATCCAGTGCGTCTTTAAGCCTCTCCAGGATGATGCGGCTTAATATTTTACTTGGGGTGGATAGGAGAGTGATTCCGCGCCAGTTCTTGCAAGCACTGAGGTCTCCCTTCTTCGGCAGTTTGACAAGGTAACCCTTCTTCCAATCGTCAGGTACCTTCTCTTCCCTCCACACCTTCTGCAATAGTGGTGTGAGCATGTCCGCTGTTGTCTCTGCATCTGTTCTCAGTGCTTCTGGCGGTATTCCATCTGGTCCTGCTGCTTTCCCGCATTTCAGTAGCTTTATGGCGTTCAGGACTTCCATTTTCGTTGGGGGATTTATGTTCACTTGTAATTCAGCGGCTGCAGGTGGTATTTCTGGACGAAGTGCAGGTGGTGGTCGATTCAAGAGCTTCTTGAAGTGGTCGGCCCATCGTTTCCTCTGTTTCTCTTCTTTTGTAATTAAATTTCCTTCTTCATCTTTTATTGGTTTCATCTGTGTTGGTCTCTTCCCTGATAGCAACCTGGTTATTTGATACAATGTCGTCAGGTCTCTCTTACCTGCAGCCTGTTCTGCTTCACTTGCCAGTGTGTCGTAGAAGTGTCTTTTGTCTTTGCGTGCACTCTTCTTCACTTCTTTATCCAGTGTTTTATACATTGTGCTCAGTTCCTCTTGTCGTTGAGCATCCTTGCACTGGTTTATCTTCTGCTTCACCATCCTCCTCTCCTCTATCAGCTTCCAGGTATCCGTCGAGATCCATTCCTTGTCTTCTTTCTTCTTCCTTCCTAATACTGTTGTGCAGGTTTCTTTCCACATAGCTTTCAAAGACTTCCAGTGTTCTTCTACACAGGTTTCTTCAGGGATGTCCCTCGATGTCTCCCATTTTGTCTTGATGGCTGCTTGAAGATCTCCTTTGTAGTTTCATCCTTCAGTTTCCGAGTGTTGTACTTGAATTGAGGTCTATCACCAGCTTCCTTGAAGGCTTTTAACTTGATTTGGAAGGTTCCTTGCACTAGATAGTGGTCTGAACCTACATCTGCTCCTCTTCTTGACCTTGTGTTAAGTAGACTGCGTCTCCATTTTCTTGAGATTGAGATAAAGTCGATTTGATTTTTAGTGTGTCCATCTGGTGAAGTCCATGTCGCTTTGTGGATATCCTTGTGCCTGAACACACTGCCTCCAATCACCAAATCGTTGAATGCACAGAATTCTGCAAACAATTCTCCATTCTCATTCATTTCACCTAGCGCCTCTCGACCCATGGTTAGTTCTCTTCCCGTGTTGTCCCCTCCCAGTTTGGCATTCATGTCGCCCATTAGAATTTTGATATCGCCAACTGACGTCTTGTCCAGTGTTGACTGAAGTTGTCTGTAGAATTCCTCCTTTTTCTCTTGCTCTGCATTATTTGTAGGTGCATAACATTGTATGATTGTGACCTTTCTTCCTTTTGAGTTGAATCTTGCTGTCATGATCCTGGAGGAGATTGGTTCCCACTGCATGAGAGCCTTCGATGCTCTTGAGGACATCATGATAGCCACTCCCTCAGTGTGCTCGTGGTTGGCGTCTGGGTGACCGGAGTAGATTATTGATTCTCCAGTTGACAGTTTGGAGAGTCCACTCCCATTCCATCTGCTTTCGCAAATCCCAAGCACTTCGATGTTATACCTTCTCATCTCCTTTGCAATCTGGGCTGCCTTACTGGGTTCAAACATCGTGCGGACATTCCATGTCCCCACGTTTACTTTCGCTTTCATCGAGAGAAGACACATCGGCCAATTGGCTTCCCGAAGGCTTTCACCAACTGGCGTCATTTCGCCTCTCCGATTCCAGCGGGGAATAAGTTTGTTTTCATTTTTTATATTTTGTTTGTGCTTTGAAGTTTCTTTAGCGGTTAGATTTGTTTTACGGGGTAGGGTTGCTAGCCCTATGCCCAACCTTCCCTCTTTACCCGGGCTTAGGACCGGCTAGTAACTAGTAAACTAGTTAACCAGGCGAGGTTACCAATCATCATGAACAGGAGAAATGCGCAGGTGGTTGTTTCTTTCACCTGCCTTCCTCGGGAGTATCGTTTCAACTACAAGCGACATGGACGAGGATATCGAAGCCAGGTTTAGAAGAGCAAGACAGGCTTTCGTTAATCTGAAATCAGTATGGAGATCTGCTGCACTGAAAACAGCATGGAGAACAAGATCCGGATTTTCAACACTAATTCAGTCAAGTCATTGCTTTTATATGGTTCAGAAACTTGAAGCGTCACGAAAAGCATTTCCAACAAACTACGGGCGTTCATCAACAGTTGCCTACGCTGGATACTGAAGATCATATCAGATGGCCAGAAAGAATAAACAACAAGGAACTCTGGCAGTGGACTAACCGGGGACCTGTCACCCAACAAATATGCAGAATAAAGTGGAGATGGATTTGGTTGGGCATACACTGAGAGGGCCAACCAGGGACATCACGCGCCAGGTCACAGCCTCGAGAAGACTTCAAAGGGGAAACGACGAGTTAGGCGTCCGAGGCGAGGGTGACATGGAAGAGATGGTGTGAGGGAGAAATGAAAGGTAATGGGCAGTCGTGAAGCCGGGTTCTAGAGACTGCAGAGAAGAGTGTGCATTTGCAGCGTGCTACTGAAGCCCAGGAACCCAAAAAAAGTAATCATGATGACATCAAATAATGCCTAACATTGTTTCGGAAAGGGTAGGTCCTGTGACTCAAACACTCCGGCGGTAGGTGATAAGTGGACGGTATGTTGGGACCTCCAAATTCCTGCTCACGTCATTTTCCTGGATTTTGCTAAGGCCTTCGACACAGTCCCACATACCATTCTTATTCACAAAATAGCAAGGTTGGGCACCAAGGGCCATGTGCTGTCCTGGCTACAGGACTGTCTAGACGGCAGACAATTCTGCACAAAAGCTAACAGAGTTCACTCGACTTGGAGGACATCATCACCTGGTGTACCACAAGGAGCGATTCTGGGTCAACTGCCATTCCTTCTTTTTGTGAAGACCTCATGCTGAATCTCAGCTCCTCAGTTCTCCGTTACGCTATAGTGTTAAGTTATAAAGAGCCATGACGTCCGAAACAGAATCAAGTGCACTGTAGAGTGATCTCAAATTACTTGCAGGGTGGGTACATATTAATGGACTAGCATTTAGTCTGGATAAGTGCCGAGCCACTTTTCTCCACATCCCAGGCTCTTAGAAGGTACCCTATCCTCTCTGTCGAACACAACTGTCCCACACCACCAGAGAGAAAGACCCAAGACCAGTACTAACTGACAAACTAAACACTAGCTCCAGTTATCCAGGAGATGCCTCCAGAACCTACTCAGTACTGCACTTCGTGCTCAGACAACTGGGTGCCCTGACCCCAGAACTCTTTTTGAAGCTGTACAAGACCTGTACAGGATTCTGCCTGGAGGTACACAAAGTCATTGCACCACCATATCTGGAAAGAGATGTGGACCTCCTGGAGAAAGTCCAGGGGCGAGCTACAAAGGATGTCGTGGGAATGAGGCGATAACCATATCAGGACAGACTGAAAGATCTAGGACTCTACTCCCTAAGCTACTGTAGATTACGTGGTGACCTGATTACGACTAAAAAATACTCAGTGACCCAAGTCATCCGAAGGGTGGAGTCTTACCGAACGACCACTAGGGCGATCCTCGTGGTAACCCAAGGAGAATCACTCACCAGGTAGCGAAAACTAGTGTGAGACCACACTTCTGTCTGTTTGCACTCATTTAACTGAGACGTGGACTAGACTGACACGACCTACTAACTCGGTACGGCCAACCGTTACTGAACACTTTGTAAAAACACTATCACTGTGAACTTGGCTCAACCTTATACCTCCCCCTAGATGTCCGCTCAAGTTACCATCTACTACTAAAAGAATTACTGTATTCCCATTCGTCCTATCAAGATATTTATTATTCTTCCTTCTGACTTTATGCCCTCAAACTTTAACAAAAGCTCCCCCCATAACCTTTTCCCCCATAAATCTACCAAAATTTCTTCTTCCGTGCCGTTTCCTTTTTCCTAATCTTTTTGTTATTTTTTAATTATTTTTCTTCCTTTTTTCCTTCTCTTTTTCCATTTTGTCTTTCTCTGCACTTTGTCTCCCTTGATTTTCTTGCACATATTTTCCATCTCCTTTTTACGACCAGTCCTACCAGTTGTCTGCTGATACGACACTTGAGGAACGCATCTGCACTACAGTCCTCGGAAGAAAAAAAACAAACAATCAACACTCCCTACAAAATTGACCGACACCCAACCACCCGTCGGGTTAACCAGAGCTACGGCAGCCGACCTACTGCATTGGAATCCACCAAAGACCTGGAACCGTTCCGCAAGACCTAGAAGCGAGTGCGAAGAAATCAAGTGGTTCACACAAGCTCGTAAAAAGATATTGGATACCACCATTGAATGAGTATAATCGATCAAAAGGAACTGATCCTGAGAACGTAGAGGTGAATGTTCAAAAATAAAAGTATTTTCTACTAATTCTGGAAGCGGAAGCTTCTGCTTTCACCT